GTATAAGGTTTTTATTTTACTATTTTGTTGGCATAAATTTCCAGATATAGGATGAATGGGCAAAGGATTATGAAGATTTTACTGACTGTGTATTGAAGCTCTGTATTGTAATGGTTAGGATGCTGGGCTTTAGAGTTCAGAATGAGATGGATTCAAATTCTGGCTCTGTTCAACCTTGGATGAGCTACTGCAAATCTAGATCAATATTGCCCTTTTATCTTGAGGATTAAATGAGATGCTACATATAAAGGGCTTGGTATGTAACTACACAATAATCACTGGATAAAATATTGTGAAACTACTTTCTAAAAGGGCTCTACCAGCTTCACTCCCCAAGGTTATGTACATGTTCTGGTTTTCCAACAAAATCCCAGCATTGGATGTTAGAATCTCAGTTATTCTATGGTTGAATGAGATATTCTATTGCTGTTTTAATTGCATTATCTGACTAATAGGAAGTTGGTAATTTTTCAGTGTTCTTGCTTTAAAATTCTAAATTTCTCCTTTAAAAAAATTCTTCCCCTTGCTTTTCTATTGCCTTTTATTCATTGTTAATTTACAGATAAGACTTCAGTGCTGTCTTATGGTTCAGGTCAAGGATTGCTATATATAGGACAGGACCCAGTAAAAGAAGGAAAAATGGGTTTGTGTTATTTCTGACCTGGCCAATAAAAAAGAGAAGTGAAACAGCATGTCTCCATGAGGTGGCTTTTCGTACCAGCCTGGCAACTGATTTCTCTGAGCTTCCAGTCTGTATGTGTTTTCCCGGCAGTCAAGTCTGGTCTAGTTGAGGGAGTGAGAGGGCGGCATGGGCCAGAGGAGGTTCATTTTGGTGCAAGGGTGCATTCCTTTACTGTCATTATCCAACTCATTAAATGAGTTAATCTGTGAGGTGCGTGATCAGGGCTGGCTCACAGCTGGTGCTTGTTAGCGTTACTAACAGAGGCTGGGACAGGGGATCCTGGGCCCATTCCTAGTCCAGCGAGGCAGCAGACTCTTCTATTTTTCCTGTTCACCAGACTCCCTTGGTAAAGTAGAAATGTGGCAGGGTCTGCCTTCCCTTGTCGGTCCAGACTAAACTTTGTTTCCCTAATTTACTTACTTACTTAGAAATTTGGTTCTTTTTTTCTTCAGACCATACTTGAATCTTTTAAATCCCAATGTGACTGAAATTTCAGCCAGAGTGGAAGTCACGGGTTTTGCTGCCCCTTTATTCCTGACCAGTTGCAACAGGCAGACAGCAAATAGCTGTTATGAGCAGTTCCCTGCTCTCTGCTGTGAGGACGGCTGCAGTCAGTGGGAAAGGTCCTGCCCCAGAGCCTGCACTGCTCTCTCAGACTGGGCAGTGGACAATGCAGGGGTGTTGCTTGCTGCCTTCCCAAGCTGAGTTTCCATGGGATGTGCAAGGCTGTTTATTCCATCCCCGAGGAGGCTGTGTTGTACCCTTTGATGGCCTTTTGCATCTCTGGAACTCTGGGTCTGGGATAGCATACAATCACTCACTGTATACTTACCAGGGATAGAAAAGGGACAAGTTTTCCCCTGATCTATTTGTAACTTTGCCCAGGATACAGATTGTGTTGAGATTGAATTATCACTTCCCCTGGCCTTATGTGGGTTGAAAGAGACAAGTTTCTCCCTAATCCATGCACATCAAAAGTAGCAAGCAGTGAGCAGGAAGCATCCACACAGAACCAAGGGGCCAGGCAGAGCGCAGGAGGAATTACCACTTTGGTGGGTCCTCACTGGTCATGCCCAACTGTTTCTGGAGAAGGAAAAGCCATTTCACAACACAGGACACTGAGGCTCAGAGTGTCCTTGCTCTGGTATCTAGCTAAGAGTTGGCAGAAATGGCCCTTCCCATCAGGGCTGTCTGGGTTCTTTCCCATTGCACAGAAGGGGGCTCCTTTAGACAAAAGAGCTCCTGCCTTCCCTTCCTTACCCCATCTAGAGAGGAGTGGATAGCAAGGCTTACCAGCAATAGGGCTGGTCTTTGTGTGTCTTTTGGTCAGAGTATGAATGTGGCCTGTTTGGGGCTGAACCGAGCATGCCCCTCTTCTAACAGGTCCTCAGATGTCAGGCATCACTAAAAGCTTGGTGTGTCTGAGGTTACCTCCATGCTCTGGGTCAGCACTGAGTCTAAGAAACCCGCATGATTTGTTGTGGCTGGCCAGGTAGGGTCATGAGGTTCCTTTGCTGGGACATCTTCAAGGACAACCCTTTCACTCCCGGTAGGGGGCCAAGCTTTCTCAGCAAAGGCAAACCAGCTCATTTCTATTCTTGAAAAACAAATTATGTATCTTAGTCCTGTTCATTTGGTAACCCCAAGTGGGAAAGATCTCTGTTGGAAGGCTGAGCAACCCACACATTCCCATGATGAGAGACACTAGTTACCCTCTCAGGGGTGGTAGAGGACAGTGCTGCTGAAGACCAAGGGTCTGGGAACTCCTATCATGGAAGGCCCAGGTTTGTCCTTGGAGTCAGGTGATCCCAGGCTGACTCTGACTCCATGCTTAAATTATATGACCACAGGCAAGGTCAGAATCTCTCTGGGTCTCCATTTCTTCACTTAAAAAATGAGATGGGTTGGGGGATGGTTGGCTTAACTCACTTCTGTTGTCCATTTTCAGATCTTACCTATTTAAAATGTCTAAAGCACACCTCAAATATTGAGGTACAATAACAATAAATTGCATCTTATGATCTTGGTTTTTCTTTGTGGTCATTATCTCTTAAATATGCTCCCTCAGGTATGAAAATATAGTGACCCAGCTCTATTTTTGAGTGTACCGTTTTCTCAGACTACTGGGAGATTATATTCTGAAAAACTCTTCAGTTATATAACTCCTGTTCCTGCTTAAATTCTCTATGTTGGTTTCCATTTATAATTTATATTTTATTATGAAAAATTTGAAACATATGCAAAAGAATTATATAATGCAATCCCATGGACCCAACAACCAGCTTTAATAATTATTCATATTTGTCAATCTGATTTCATCTCCTCCTCCCCCTGCCCCATACATTTTTGGCAAGGGGGAGGGAGCACTTGAGTATTTTTAAGCAGATCTCAGACTTAATATCATTTTACTGTTAAATAGTTTGTGTATAAAACCAAGAAGACTCTTCCCTTTTGCCAAATATAACTACAGCATCATTATTGTACCCACTACAATTAACAGTGAACAGGGGTTTAGTGAATTTTTAGTGAATTCAGGGTGGAAAGAGAAAGGAGGAATGAAGGAATGAGCTCTGGCCTGGGTTTACCTGCTTTCCTTCAGAGAAAGTGGTAGAATTCATTGAGAAGGCTCTTAGTATGTATATATTTATGTATGTATGTAGGTATGTTTTTAAGATTTTATTTTTTTATTCATGAGAGACAGAGAGAGAGGGAGAGGCAGAGGGAGAAGCAGGCTCCCTGTGGAGCAGGGAGCCCGATGCGGGGTAGGGAGCCCGATGTGGGACTTGATCCCAGAACCCTGGGATCATGACCTGAGCTGAAGGCAGACGCTTAACAAACTGAGCCACCCAGGCACCTAAGAAGGGTCTTAGCATTTAAACTGGCACTTGCCCCAGCCCTTACAAGACTTTCAGGGAGCGCCTTGGTGGATCAGTCCATTAAACGTCCCACTCTTGGTTTTGGCTCAGGTCATGGTCTCAGGGTCCTGAGATTGAGCCCCGGTCAGCTCTGCACTCAGTGAGAGTCTGCTTGAGATTTTTTCCCCTCCCTTTCCCTCTGTTCCTTCCCCTGCTCGTGTGCAAGCACTTTTCTCAAAGAAATAAATAAATAAGTAAATAAGTAAATAAATAAATAAAATCTTAAAAAGAAAAAACTTTTAGCAAACAAATATGGTAAAGGCCTTTCCAGACAAAGGGCTATAACTAGTATTTACCGAGCATCTACTGTGTACATCACCATATATATCATCTCCTTTAACTTTCACACTAAAGCTGAGAAGGTTCTGGGAGGAGCTTCCAAAATATAACCTTACTATTGGTCAATGTTACAATATCATACCATTACCCTGACTCCAGGCTGAATCAATGGCAGATACCTATTTAGCATCAATATACAAGACTATTTGACTCTGCCTTAGTCTTATCTGATGTTTAACTGTTATAGAAACAATAACCAGCTCATTTTTTTTAGATTCTCTGGGATATAATTAAATGAGGATAATACTATCTTAGGCAGTGAGAGTGTGAAAATGCCTTCCTATTTCCAACCCAGGCTAAGGATTTCCATTCAGTCTTCTCCCCTCTCTAATCCCATTCCCCCAAATCGATAGAATGCAAATCATAGGGCTTACAAATCACTCTTAGGGTTAGAGGACATTGGTAGGTTTGTGCTTGAAAGATTTGAATTTTTGCCTTGGAAGCCTGTAACTTTTTGTTCAGTATGGAGTATCTTTAATTAGCAAAATAGAGAAGTGTCTCCCTAAACATGCTTGGCAGTGGGAAGAGGCCCTTGAAGTATTCTGGAAGGAGAAGAAAGGTAATTAAGGAGGGAGGCAAAAAGGAAGGAATGAGGGAGGGAAGGAAACAAAAAGCCGAGAACATTCATAAGTGTCAGATTTTATGACCCAGCTTGGGATGAACTCTGGTGACCTAGATTGTTTGTGTTTAAGATCTAAAGGAGTAGGCAGGTCCCTGAGTACCTGCCTTGGTAATGAGACTATTCCAGCAGCTATATTGTGAAGCTGCTGAAGCTTAAGCTTCAGGGCCCCTTCCTTGTGTTGACCCTCCTAAAGCCTTGGGAGAGGCTCTAGAAATGTGTTCCTGTGCTCCTGGGTATAAGCTTCACACCACACAAAACCCAGATCCATTCCTGCATCTCAGGAATAGAGATCTCAAGAGAATAATGTGCCTATAACCATATCTAGATAAGTCCCAGATTTCCCTAGTAGTGAAACTTCCCTTTCTTCCCCCACCCTCACTTCCTTTTAAATTCTCTTTGTGATTTACACAAATTTAACCTAATTTGTATTTCATTTGTGCAGATGAAATTATGCAGCAGGAAATCAGGCCCTTGGTGGCAGTGGACATAATTGAACAACTTCACAGACAGTTTGCCATTCTCTCAGGTAAGGGGCAAATTAATTTGTATTTTAGATTTTGTTGCGGGGGATCTTGTTGGGAAGGGCCAAGCCTCTTGAACCTGGATGAACAGTGTACCCAAGTCTTAGACATCCCTTCAGCCTCTCCCAGAGTTACAATGAACAGCTGGAGGAGGGTCAGATCTCATAGATGTCATTCCTATTGCTGTTGAATGCAATTTGATCTTCCTTAAGGGAGTACATTTCTTTGAGGTTGTTGTTAAGAACAGAGCTAAAAAGATTTTGAGGAAGGGAAAGGAAATAACTACTGATATCAGCTGCCACCATGATGTTCTTCCTACATTCTTGATGGAGGTTTTTCCCAAGATCTAACCTTAAGAGAGTGGTTTTAAGGGTTCATGAGCATTGGTGAGGTTATTTTTTCTCTTCGAGATTTGTCTTTTAATCTTAGCTCTTATGGACCTAATTTTAATGCATTGATTTCCATTGAGCATTTGGGAATAAAGAGAGGCTAATGTTCATAAAAGGCTAGAAATTTTCTGAGCCTAGGCACAACCCTGAGAAGTTGTCATTACCAGAATACTCTTCTTTCTTATTTCTTAGTGAATGTTGACATGACTTTGATTACTGAAACTGGAGATACATACCAAACCCTAAATTACAGTTAGACCTGTTTTAGAAGCATGGTGTGAAATTGTCCTTAGCACACATCACAGAGGAATAAGGTGGCAAGTTACTCTCCTCATCTTTTACACCTGAAAAAAGCAACAAAGCTACCTTAGTTCCATCACAGAGAATATGAAGTTGGTATGAATTTAACCCTACAACATGGGATATTAAAAGAGACACATTTCTGGGGGGCGGAGCAAGATGGCGGAGGAGTAGGAGACCTGGATTTCATATGGTTCCAGGAATTCAGCTGGATAGGGATCAAACCATTCTGAACACCTACAAACTCAACAGGAGATCGAAGAAAAGAATAGCAACAACTCTCTGAACAGAAAAGTGACCACTTTCTGGAAGGTAGGACGTG